AGTAGAATGGGTACCCCTTGTGGGTTTCCAAGGCTGTACATCTTTACTGGAGTAGAAAGCCTCATCTTTCTCCCTTGGCGCAGCTGGTGACTTCCAACTGCCTACTTTCCGGTTAGCAGCCCAATGCATAACCCACTATGCTACCAGGGCTACATATGTCAAATATCAGCCAGTGCAAAAAAGAAAAACATTTCGAGGAGTACCAGCTGCATTTTAAAATGCAGCATGATATGTGAAATGTCTAATATTTAAAATGACACAATACCAGCAAAACCTCTCCAAAATTTTTTTCACAAAAGAAATAATAATGCTGCTGTTTTTAGTCTCCCTTAATTGGCTCTCCCTCAGAATCACCTTTCGTATAACAGAATGGAATGTTCCCCAGTCCTACACCAGCCTTATAATTGTTGTTTGAGCCCATTGTGGCAGCTGCTGTGTTGATCCACCACATGCAGAGTTTCCTTTGCTTTCAATAGGGCTGTCAGATAACATAGCCTTTTCTAGCGATTCGTCTTTCCGGATGATTTTTCTGAGGTTAGCAAGTCAGTCTTGGGATCCTCGGTTCACATACATTGATGGCACTGACACAGGGTCCTCCTCTCCCACGTGTCAGGGTGTCAGAACCCGTGGGGAACAGGCAGAGGGAGGTGAAGTAACAGCTATACAAAGGGGGGGCAGAGCCAGGCAAGTGGCCCAGGCAGCACCCCCTTCTGCTGCCAGATGGACAGGTGTACGCCTGACTCCATCTGTGCTACCCGTGAATTTTAAAGTCTTTCCCATAAGCCAAGGACACCTTTAAAACATGCCATGACCACTCTAAAAGTCAGTAGATGAAATGAAAAAAGAAAAGAAAGGAATATAAAAAAAATTTTACACCGTGGCCTCAATAGTTCAAGTTGGACAATAAGTTTTCATCTTTACCCTAATAGTTATCTTCTAATCCTTTTCTTACTAGACCCTGATAGATTCTGTGTTATTCCATTCCGAGATTTTGTTTGTTTTCACTCCCATCTCTTCCCTGATAATGTTCATGATTAATGCTGGAAAGTATGTTCACCCAGAGAGAGGACATTTGTGGTTTAGTGGTAAAATTTTGTCTTCCTGTGAAAAATGCCCAATCAATGTACTGGATGAGCAGCACCATCAGCCTGTAGTGGCTCCCATGTTGGGATAAAGTTGAACAGGTGGCAGTGATATTTACAGACTAATGCAGACTAGAAAGGAATTTCTGGTGTCCTACTTGCAGCATTCAGCCAAGGAAAACCTTGCTGATCGTACCATCCATGCTCTTGTCCATAGGGACACCAGGAATCAGGGCCAGCTCAATGACTTTTAACAATAAAGATGTCCCATGAATATTTATTTACTCACTGACTAAATAAATGGGTGAAAGATGATTCTTGTTAGAAAGTTACTCATTGATTCATGAAAACAACTCCCACATAATTGTCCTGCTGTTCCCATAAGTGATAAAAACACAAAAAGAGTCCTAGGTTGAGTTGCCACATACTCAACTCCACCGACGTCACAGTTAAACAATGTCTGTTTATGAGTGCAGTACCGATTGTAACACAACACGTAGTTACGTGGATTGAAGGAATGGCCTGCCGTAACAATGATCTCTTTGTGGTCGCGTTTCTCAGGCCCCATGAAAGCACAATGCCATGGTACCTGTGGGAGCACTCTGTAGATGGCATTGCCACACTGGGTAACCACCAAGTCTCGGTCAAATACGATGTGAAAAGGGAAAGCTTTGCAGAAGGTAGACGGGCTGATGCGTGACTCCTGGGTCCCATTTTCCTCAAATCTGTCGAGATCTTCATAAAAATCCTCTTCTTTTGACTCTTTTTCTTCAATTAAAAATTGAGTATGATCACACTCTTCATTTCTTTGTTGAATCACCTACGTGTCAAAAGAGCGAAACAGTGTTATAGCTACTGGCAGTTCTGTTCAGTTGAAATACTTAACGTGCCTTAGAAACTGGAGATGAAAGTTGTGTTTGGGGGTTGGGTAACCAAAGTTTAATATGAATATGCAAATAATACACATGTCTACAGAATCTTCACGGCATAGTGAGTGCTGTGTCAGACTGGGAACCATGAAGCCAACAGTTGGAGCCCAGCGGCCAGGAAAAGGCGAGGCTGTCCACGACCCTAAAGACTTACCATGCAGAAACCAAAGGGGCAGTTACATTCTCCACACAGAGCTGGCTCAAAATGGAACTGACTGGAAGACATGGGGTGGTGGTGGATATGTATGACAGGTCTAGAATAGAAAAAGTCTCTGTACAGGGACTTACGAAATTTAAAGACAGTATTATAAATCCAGTGTCAAGTACTCACTAGTTTCAATAGCCTCTGTGGCAGAATTAGGAAAAGGTGACCCTTTTTATTGGTGGACTCCACCCCTCCAGCCAGGCGCACTCAGACAGTGAACACGCTACACAGCCGGACAGAGCAGAACATGGAATTCCAAAGAGGGACATCGTTTTTCAAAGGCTTTTTAAAAATCTATCAATTGGCAGGACTACAAGATTAAAATACTGAATTCAGTAAGACACCCAAAAAGAGGCAACTCAAACATCGCTAATGGAGAGTGTTTTGTCGAATCTATCTGAAGGATAATACATTCATTCTGAAAGTGCATTAACATTTCATCTATCCTGTATCTGGGGACTTATGCATGCTGTGGATGTTTTTCGTAGATTATTGCTTTGGGTTTCGATTTAGCCATGCTGCGCTCGAATCAGAAACATAGAAATTGCAGAAAAGAAGTATATTCTGGACTTGCGTGGAAGCTGTGGTTGTTTATTAGCACGGATAGTTTGGGACATTGCCGCATTAGCATATTCTATACAAAACTCCAGTGGCAGGTAACTCTATGATGCACTCACTTTGTACACTATTAAGGTTCTTTGGTGGCTTTTATTTATTCCAGAGTCCTAGTCCAGACTTCTGAAATATATACATATCTAAATTATATTTTTGTCCTCGCAAATTTTTTGAAAGGTCTTGTTTTAACCTCCAGAAATATCTTTATGTCAAAAAGGTTAACTGTAAGAAGGCCACAGCTACTAACTCTAACATATGAGAAATCTCGATCCGCACCTTGAAGCCCTAAAACCACAGAAAAATGAAAACGGGGTCAGAAAAAGCAGCTTAATCAAAGCAACAGCAGCAGCGAGGACATCATTAGTCATATTGGGAGTGCATATAATTAATTCTTTCAGTCAAAAGAGAAAGACAGCAAGATACTAATTTCAGGCTTGGTTGTTAGCTTGACTCTTTTGTTTTTTTCTCTGTGTGGCAGTTACATAATCTGTCAACTTGAGAAGGGGTGAAGTCTAGCCTGTCAATCTGGTCATAGTCAATGAGGCCTCTGTGTGGGTGTGGCCTTCTCCTGAGGATTCTGGGAACTCCTATCTTTCTCCCTGGAAGTGGGATGCACACACTCTATGCTTAGTCTTCCTGCTGACAAGGCACATGGAGCTGCGCTGATACAGTCAGAGCCCTGGAGCTGGAGGAGCCATGTGGAGACCCCTGCCAGCACTCAGATGCTTCCACTGCCACTGGATCCACAAGACTTTCCACCCATTTGCTTGTGATCTTCCTGCATGCTGCATCATTGCATGTGCTGCGTGAGTCTGAAGAGGAATTTGCAGACTAGTATCAGACATATGGGCTAATATCAGACTTATGGACTTGATCTGGACTGGGCTGGGAGGCTTTCTTAATGTAAAAATTGCTCTTTCATATAAAACTCTCTTTTACACACATATGAGTGTCTCTGGATTTGTTTCTCTAGTTAACCCAAATTAGAACACTATGAGACTATTGAGGAATCAACATTATTGTAGCAAATAGTTTAAATTACTTAAGTACAACAATGTAGGAGTTTGGTGATCTAATTATATATTAAAATGACAGCCTGAGTTTGCCACAAGATGGTGCATCCTATAATATACAATAGCATCCATGGAGAGCAATACTTTAATTTTGTTCTTTACGCCTCAGAGTGTGAGTCAGTGATCAGGAAAAAAATGTGAAAAAGAGCCACATTTTATCTTCATTCGGTTGCCATGGGAGGAATATTGCCCGATTCATTACCCTTGTGCATATGGCTCCTGCTAAATACGAGTTTTTACTTTTTAAGCAGACACATTGCCTGTCATTTTATAAATTAAACAAACACACACAAAAATGATTTTCTTTGTCTTAATAATATGTTTGCCTTTGAATAAGATATTTGAAGTCTGTTTATCTCTTTGGATTATAGGTGTTTACTCACAATTTTTATGATCTATTTAGAATGAATTTCTGTAGTTAGAATTAAATCAGATACGAGGCTTATTAAAAAAGACTTTGAAACATTACTATACCATCCCTGGGTGGGTTTTAAATGCCCATTTTTTGGTTAGCAAACCAGTGTTTAATCATTTGTGCCATACAGGATCTTCTGTATTATTATCAAGTACTAAAGATGGTTCCTTCTTCAAAGTAATCCTCATTTAAGAAAAGGCTTACAAAGTGAGGGATTTCAGTTGTTTGGGGAGACCGACTAAGAAATTCACAAAAAAACCTCAATCTGTAAAATACTGTCTTAAATTTTAGGTGCTTCTGATACACATTGTGGTCTTTTAATAACGTTCAAAGCAATAAAGGCAATAGCTCTAACCGTCACAACCCATCTTGCTTTCTAGCTGGTATGAGAGCTTACAGAGAATGCAGGCTCAAGTTTACAGCGACTAAGCAATGTACAATTAGGAAGAAAAATCAGTCACAATAAGGGGGAAAAGGCCGCATCATGCATTCCAAGCCAAATCGAGAAGATTTCTGGTGTTTCTACTTTTATGGCCTTTGTGTACCAGGTCCACTAGCAAAGATAACTAAAGACATATGAACAGACACTCTTTCTTCATAGTCTAAATATTCTGAGCACCTCCTGGGCGGATCATTACCTTCATGTCTATTTCAGTGCCATGTATCTGTTGAGCTACGGTTTTAATGATTCCAATGACTATATCCTGCAGCCCTTCTCTCTCTGAATAGTAGTGCAGAATAAGCCCTTTGCCCTTTTCCGCATCCGTGCATCGAAAGGAAGGCGCCCGCATCCCCGGGTAGATGGTGGCAAGGTGGTCGTGCAGCGCATCAAGGTTCTGCAAGGAAAAGGAAACAGTGATGCATGAAGAATGCTTCCACGCTGACAGCTGAATTCAGGAGAGCAAGATAGAGAAACAAGACTCAAATCTGAGCACTCTTTGACCAACCGATCACGTAAAATTAAAATATCTGCTTCACTGAGAGAAGAGTATCTGTAAGACAAGAACCATAGAGAAATCAAAACAAAAATGCATAATTAAGACAAACAGTTGTGGCTATTAATAGCTAATGCATCTTATAAAATGATAAGCACACAAACATGACACAAAAAGAATTCCCAAAGCAGAAAAATGAAACAGGGTTTTCCATAGCAAAGCCCAAAATACATGAGTATTTATAGGCCTTTGGGGCAGCTTTGTGTGCGTTTTGTAATAAACAATCTGAAAGGCCCCAAATGACCAAGTGACACATTAATTACAGTTTTGTTTACATTATAATCTTAAAATTAAATTATTAACTTTAAAATCCATGTCAAATTTATAAGCATATGAAAAGCATGTGATAGGATTTTGCAAAATAATATGAACTACAAGTCTTCCATTTCTTTATGTTCATTATACCATTGGTCTAGGAAAGCTTCGTGGCTACTTTTGAAACTCAGGATCTGAAAAGATTAATACATTTGTCAATTATTTTCTAATAGCCTTGAAAAACTTTAGAACATACCACATCTCTTTAGCATCCTGTACTTTTCCTAAATATACAAAACTGATTTAAGAATCACCTGAAGGATGAAAACTGTACTTTTTATTTGGTCCAATATGATTTTAAAATAACATTTAGTTCTCTGCGTGTGTGTGTGCTTGTGTTCTATATAACAACACAGACAGACATCGATAGCATAGTGTGTGATTTCAGTTCATAGTGCCTTTAGATTTGAATAGAACTGGGTTTAAATCCTAACAGTTATTTCCTAATAATGTAATCAATGTACCTAACTTTTGTAAAACTTTATTTCTTCTGATAAAACAGAGATCACACAAATAGTTTATACCAAGTATTTAGCACACGACAGGCATGGTAGATAAATAACAGCTCTTTCAAGATGTTCACATGCTGAGCACATAAAAAGCAGCTAACTGGGAGTTACTTGGTCAGAAATGTGGAAAAACAGTGGCTCTCTTTGCTGCTGATAATTAAAGCAGCTAACTGGGAGCTACTTGGTCAGAAATGTGGAAAAACAGTGGCTCTCTTTGCTGCTGATAATTAAAACGATCTCTCTGTCCCTGTGCATTTCTCAGACTGTAACTCTTTGCTGGAGTAGAAAGCCTCATCTTTCCCCCAGGAACGACTGGTGGTTTTCAACTGCTAAACCCAATGCGTAATCCACTACACAACCAGGACTCCTAATCAAACCATCTGAATTCTTAACAGTTGAGAACTGCCCCTGGCCACAGTGAGAGAGAGATGCGGTGCCAGAATACTAGAGAGACTGACAAAGAAACACGAATAAAGATACCGTGCCCTGCTATTGGTTCTAAAGTGTAGGGACGGAAGAAAAAAAGCTAATGACAGCCCCCAGCTGTCAACCAGCAAGGAAATGTAAACCTCAGTTACTTCATGACCACACAGAGTTGAACTGTGCCAACACCAGAGGAGCAAGAAAGCAAATTACACTACATAAAAGAACACTGCCCACTTGGTCCCTGATTAGAGCTCTCTGGCTGCTGTACTGGACTTTTGATCTAAATAATGTGCATCGTTTCTACCACTTAATGTGTGTGTAGTACTATGTTATGGAGGCAAGAAGAAACCAATACACCAAGCAATTTATTTACTCTACAAGCCCCAGAGATCCTAAAAGTACTTCATGTGGTTGAATAGACTGAGTGGTTCTTCCCAGGATAAATTCTCATGGGAATTCTTCCCTGAGAGAGGAAGCTCTGAGAAGTGCTCTTAACAACTGGTTTACATCAATTACACATCTACTCATGTTGAGAATCTGATGAGAGAGATCTTCAAAAGGAATTCTTTGTTGGAAATTTCCTAATATAGTTAGGCCTCGCTCACTGTGGCTCACTAAAACCAAAAGGAAACTTGAATCAAAGAGCTTGAAATTTATTCATTTTTCCGTTTCCTTTGAAAAATGTTAGGATATTTCATCGGTCGTTAGGTCCAGGGCCCTTTATACTTATCGATTGCATGTTGTATTATACTTCAAAGTTATCATTAGTACATTTCTTCATAAAGCCCAATGACTGTCACGAGACAAAGCAGTTAAGCATAACTCTGTGCACGTGGGGTGGCACAAATGGCAAAATATTCAGCTTTACTCAAGAGTTGGCAGTTCGAGTCCACCCAGAGAAACTCAGGAAGAAAGCCATTACTATCCACTTCCCAAAATATCAGCCATTGATAAGCTCATGGCACCCAGTTCTATTCTGACACACGGGTTGCAATCACTGACATCAACTCCAAGGTAACTAGTGTGGTGATGAGGTTACCCGCATCCCTCATGCCGAGGGAGGGCAAAGGGATGGACCCAGGTGACCCCAGAGAAGCATGATGAGTCACACAAATGCTGAGCCGTTGTATTGACATTAAGATCATCATTAAGATTAGTGCCTGTGAGTCAAGTATCACCCCATGTATATGTACATTTTCAAAACCACTTTAACGGAGGTGACCTCGCCCCAGCGGGGGTCAGTTTCTCTAGGTGGGAGGGAAGGGAGATCATTCAGCGGCTGTCATACAAAACTGTGCTGTGCTCGCCTCAAATCAACAGGCATTCCTACAGGAATTATACGCAAACCTTAGTAGAAATGCAAGACTGGGGGAGAGGGACATGGGTGGGTAAATCCGCTAAAGCAACCACCCTTTGAAAAAAAAGCAGATAGATGACTGTTATTCCAGTCATGGAATTGGCGGTCTTTGGATTTGGTTCATATCTCTTGTTTTTAGGGTGCCCCGTGAATGGTGGCCTGGAGCTACTACATATTTACCATATATACTCATGTATAAGCCGAGTTTTTCAGCACTTTTTAATTGCAGTTTTGGGGGTAAAATTAGGTGCCTCGGCTGATATTCGGTCGGCTTATACTTGAGTAGATACGGTACTGCTACAATGCTCTCCTTGCTTTATTATGGACCGGTATTAACACGGTAGGCATGACTATGCCTTTGTGAATGAGAGTTATTGAACTGTTCCCCTATCACCAACTCCCACTGTTCATGTAGTGGCCAGTCATTTCAGAGTTAATCTGTACAAGTCAAGGGCTCGTGTATTGTAGTCTGGAGCCGGGCTTCTTGCTGCTAGGTGCCGTCCAGTCAGTTCCAACCCATAGTGACCTTAGACTTGATGGACAACAGAAAGTGCTGAAACATTCTCACGATTGTTCCTATCCTTGATTACATTGCTGCAGCCACGGTGCTAATCGATTTTCTGGAGAGCCTTCCACTTTTTTGTTGCTCCTCTTTAGCAAACATGTCCTCCTCCAGGACCGGTCTCTCCTGACAACATGTCCAAAGCATGTAGACAGTCTCACTTCCTTGCCTCTGAGGAGCACTCTGGTGCTACTTGGTCTAAGACAGATAGGTTTGCCCTTTTAGAAGTCTGTAGTAATTTCAGTATTCTCCAGCCCCAGTGTTCTAAATTCTATACCACTGGCTCAATTAATGACACCATTAACAGAATTATCTTATGGCCTGGGAGGGGGGGGGAAGATGATTTATAATGTTTTATAACTTATTTTTTGTTTTATGTTTTATAATTTATTTATAATGTTGATGCATCCCTTCCTTGTGACCATTCTGTGAGGGGATGTCCTATTGTCTACAGATGGGTTTGGGGTCTCTGCTCCAACCCCCCTCATTCTCAACAATATTTTGGTGCTGTGTTTTGGGTCTTCTGATACCTGTTGCCTGATCCCATTGACACCTCATGATCCCATAGGCTGGTGGTGTACTTCTTCCATGTGGACTTGTTGCTTCTCTGCTATATGGCCGCTTAATTAACTTCAAGCCTTTAAGACCCCAGACACTGTATCTTTTGATAGCCTGGCACCATCAGCTTTCTTCACCACATTTGCTTATGCCCCCTTTTTGTCTTCAGCAATCTGTAGGGAGGGTGAGCATGCGGCTGCCTTTTCTATCAGAGAGAAAGCATTGTATTCTGCTATCTTGTTGACTGAGGTCTCTGTTTTGTTTGTTGTTGTTGTTAGTTTCTTTCTCATTTGTTTTTTGCTACCCATTGTTTTGTATGTTTTTCTGCATGTGAAATCCAGGATAGGTAATTCTATAGAGACTGTAACTGGATTAATAATTACCTAGGACATGACAAGGGAGGTCAGGAAAATAGGAGGCTAACACCAAAGAGTACAAGGAGAAAATGTTCTGAAATTGACAACTCTTCCAAATATAATCGAACAATTAATTGTGTGATATGTGAATTATATGCCAATAAAACTATTTTAAAATATTGGATACAAAAAGAGGCAAGATGTTCCTTTTATCTTCTGTGGTAACCAACTCTCCAGAGATTTTCTGTGCATTGAATGTCCATTTAATTAAATGGACAAGAACAACGCTTTCTGGGAGCATAAATATCACTTAACAGACAGAGTAAATATCACTTAACAGACTTAACAGACATTGATTTTCCTTAGATAGCTTCTAACATAAAAAACTCTCTTGGGATTTCTTCAGTTACAGCTTTCCCTACTTAGCTTTATTCTCTCCAAAGGAAAGTGGTTAGCACTGCCTATGAGAATGGAGTTCTCGATTTAAAATTAAACTATTTGCATTCTAGTACAGGCATATTGCTAATACACTTGACTTATTCATAGTCAGATCATGCAGCAACCTCAAAGGCGACACACACACACACACACACACACACTCTCAAAAGAGCAATGGGAAGAAATTATTCACATTTTATAATGCTGTTCCAGCTCAATAACTATCAACTTGACTGCGGCAGTGCATGCTAGATACTTGCAGTCACAGCTCGAATCTGGTCATCTGCTTTATTTTTAAATAGATCCATGCAAGCAGATAG